TACAAATGTCTACAACAGTGAACCATTTTGAGTTTGGTGGAACTTGTGACAACAGGGTGTTCAGGTTTGGATCAAATGGGAAACAGGGAGTAACTATCTTGTTAATAGTTCTCAAGCCCTGGACAAATCACCATCCCCTCCCATTTGTATAGTAGGGATATGTAATAAAGTTCAGAGAGAATTTCTATCTCAACCAGTATGAATGACTCTGTGACCTTTTATTGAAAAGCTTCCTTTTTTGCTATGTGATACAGCCCCAGTCAATCCATTAGGCAGGGATCTCCTTTCTAAATTCAAAGTGCTAATATGTTACTTTAGACCAGGGGCTGGTATAGGGAATGATCAGCCCCTGGGTGAGTAGGTCTTCTACTGTGGAAGTGAGGCCCTGTGTGGCCTCAGGATTTAATGGATTTTGAGGCAATTTAAGAAGTTTAGTCATCTATCTGGATCTGTATAGGCTCTACACCTTTTATTCTCCCAATGACAGTATTAGATGTTGCCTAGAGATTTGGGGGCACCTTAAAATCTGAGAACTTTTGTTGGAATTCTTCTTCTTCTATGTCAAGGGCAGATTATAAAGAGCATACAGGATCAGGTTCAGGTTGGTCAGGAAACTCTAAGGTGAAGTCTCCATTGGAAGCAAACATATTAGCCCTTTTAATGGACTTCTAAATTCCAAAATTTAATTTAGCCCTTCTAAATTCTTAAACAAAAAATTTGGGGAATTTTCCCTGGGTTTAGGGAATTTTTTAACTATGGCCCTTAGTTTGGTCTTTGAACGGTGGGTGAAAGATATCTGAAAAGATTCGTCTGAAACCTCAGGTAGTTTTATTTTAAAAGGTAATTATTTAAGTCTTTTCAGAGTGGAAAGGCGGTTCAGACAGAGAATCAGTAACCATGAGTGCTCAGGTGAAGGACGAGGGGAACAGTAGGAGTCACGTCAGTCCTCTAGTCTTTTGTTTTAGGTGCCCTTTGTGTCTTTACTTTTACCTTAGCCTTTTGTAATGAGTCATTTAATGAAGCTATTTTGGAATCTTGCAGCCTTTTGGAAGCTTCTGCATACCAATTAAAATAGGTATTCCATTTTGTTTAATTTAGGAACTCTTGCTTTCAAGTGAACTTCTTAAATAAACAATCTTGTCTAATTGAAACGTTTCCCATAATGACCATTGTAACTCTAGGTTGTTTTTAGTAAGATTTTGCCATTTGGCTAGATATCTACAGTCCAGGACTGTAATTCTTAGACATGAAATGAGCAGGTGTGTTGGAAGGTGGCACACTTGACTCTTTGGAGCTTAAAGATCCCATTTCTTTTTAGTTAAGCCTTTGGGTTTCTTGGAGCCAAACTAATACCTAAGAGGGATGTGCCTGGGTGTTGGGAATTGTGTGTAGTTTTACATTGTGCTTTGTTGCATGGAAATTTTCTTGAGGTTGGTGGGTGACCTAGTGTCAATTTAACCCATTTCATAACCAACTTATCCTAACATGGGAGTATTCTTGAGGTATACAGTGCCCTAACAGCCTTTATTTTTTTTTTCATTTTATTGATTTATTCATTTTTTTTGAGGAAGATCAGCCCTGAGCTAACATCCATGCCAATCCTCCTCTTTTTGCTGAGGAAGCCTGGCCCTAAGCTAACATCTATTGCCAATCCTCCTCCTTTTTTTTTTCCCTTTTTCTCCCCAAAGCCCCAGTAGATAGCTGTATGTCGTAGTTGCACATCCTGCTAGCTGCTGTATGTGGGACGCCGCCTCAGCACTGCCGGACAAGCGGTGCGTGGGTGCGCGCCCGAGATCCGAACCAGGGCTGCCAGTAGTGGAGTGCGCGCACTTAACTGCTAAGCCACGAGGTCGGCCCCCTTAACAGCCTTTAAATGCTTGTTACCAAACCAAGTTCATTTTTCCCACCACATCATTATGCTAATCACCCAGATGATGAGTTTGCAAAGAGAAAGGGTTTAACAAGGCAGCCAAGCAAGGAGATGGGAGAACCAATCTCAAATCCACCTCTGAAAAATGGGATTAGGGATATTTATGAGATAAAGGGGCAGAGTGGTCTGAAGTGGGAATAGATGATTGGAGGTAAGGAGAAGTGAGGCAATTGATGATCTGTGCAAGTGCAATCAAACTTCATGACTCTTCATAGGATGCATGTTCACAAAATGGCAGCATCACCATGATCTGAGGGTGGAGTTTTCAGCTCCTTGACATCAAAGCGTCACCTATGGGTCATCCATGCAGGCCCAGTTGATGTGTCGGTGGTCTTAACCAGCCTGAACTGGATGAGGAGTTGACTGTCAGTTCCTGAAAAACTCAAGCACATGTTACCATGGTGACCCAGGCATCAGAGATGTTGTCTATAGTGTGGGTTTTAGTAATTCATTATCTAACTACTTTTGCAACCAGACAACTAACTGAGTATAGTTAAAGCAAGCTGGTCCCCAGTTTCATGCTCGACCCATGCCCAGCAATGTTTGTGGATTTGTTTTTGTTTTTGTTTTTTTTACTTCTGATTCCCACTAGCCACTAGCTTTTACTTAAAACAAAATTGCATTCACCTGATGCCTCAGGCTGGACCCAGTCCAGCTTAAATTGGACCCGGCCTAACTCCAGACTTAGTTGGATAACCACCAGCAGTTCCCCATGTGGAATGGGGGGGGCTAGTGGGAGAGAATTTGGGGAGGGAGTCCAATCAAATGGGGAAAGCCAATTAGATCAGGAGCTCAATGCAAAGAGAGCAGAGCTCAGAACTGAGAGGAACTTACCCACTCCCTCAAAATTGGTAAGAAAGACAGAGAACTCAACAGACTTCATGGGTACCACACCTGTGTCTCTCGTCCCCAAAGCTGTCAGAAGTCTCCTTCAGTCCTGCCACTGCCACTAAATCTGTTAAATAACAAAAACTCAACTGAGTAAATTTAAAGATTAAATTGGCTTTGTGAATTAGGCAGCACACTACCTAGCAAGTAGAGAGGAGCTCCAAAGGGCTACAGAAAAGGAAAGGTTTTTAAAGGCAGAGAGGGGGTGGAAAAAGGGAAATTATTAGCAAAGAATGCATGGTTTCAGGCAAGGTCACCATTTTGAAGGGAATGGAAGGGGACTTTCAGGTAGATTACCGCACTTGTGCTGACCAGGTAATTCCAGGTTGACTGGTCAAAGGTTACATTCCAACAGAGGTTTAAACTGCAATTAGGTTGGGTATTAAGTCTTGGTTTGCTGATGTGGGATTTAGCACAAGTGACTCCACTTTGGGTCTGCTATCTCCTTTTTACAAGCATGATATTTCAATTTTGGAATGAGTCAATATGGACTTCACTATTAACAAGTAGGAAGGGTCCCAAAAGTCCTGTGTCTCATGGAAAGTGTATATTCAAGAATGAAGGCAGACTGGCCTCAGTGACATCTCGGCTTTACAAGAATAAGTGGTACTTATCCCTTTGGAGGAAATTTTAAGTTCTACACTGTAGCCAAAGCCACGCACTAGGAACCCTCGACCTCAAGATTCCCCCAAATGATTCACTGATGGTTTAGGTAAGCTAAATCCTAATGGTGTCCCCTGGGCCAGTGTGGCTGTTTAGCCTTAGTGCCAGCTCTGCAGAACCAAAATTAGATGTGATTGTTCCATTCATTGGTCAGATCTGAGACACCTGGACTGCTGCCAGTGGTCTAGCTGTTTACTATGCCACTTGGAAAACTATGGACTGCCAGAATAAGGACACCCCTCTTTTGGGCTGTGAACTGTGGAAACAAATGGCAGTGCTGGAATAATTGTCTGGGTGATTCATTTAGATGTCCATGGTAAAGGCCTGTTGTTTGAAAAGACTGACAAGAATCAAGTTGCTGATTATGCAGTTGCTGTCTGATGCAGAGGCTACCTCTGCATGGCACACTTGTGACTTTTTATTGTGCCCCAGCTTTATTGAGGTGTAATTGACAAAGAAAATTTCAAGATGTTTAAAGTGCACCCTTAGCTAACTAGACCCATAGTCTCAGTGAGCTGGTGAGGTAGGGAAGGATCCTGGGAATATGGACAGCAAGGATTGAACTATGAAACACCACCACCCCTTACTTTTTATGGGAGTAGTTTCCTAACTGGAGTGGGTAGAAGTCTTTGGAAAAGATGCTTGGGCTATTCAGACCTGTCCAGGAGTCCTAGCTCAGCCTTACCCTTCAAGGGGCACAATAATGGGTGAAGAAGCACCCCAGCCTTTCCCATCACCGCTCCCAAACTCCCTCATTTAGGGTGGTCCTAAGATTGCGGGTAGGGGGGCTGTGATGAGTGAGGCTAGGAGCAGACACTAATCAGTACCAATCCTGTCCCATTCTGTGGGAGGAGACAGACATCAACACAAGAGTCACAGCCTCAGCCTCGGGGATGGGAATTTTGAGAGAGAAACAGGTTATGTGGCTCCTTTTTTTTTTTTTGGTGAGGCTCTAGGGGCTTGAGGGCCAAGCCTGAAGAAAGGCAGGGAAGGGGAGACATTTATCTAGAGATGAGACAATTGAATAGAAACTGCTCTCCAAGTAGAAGGTATGTTTTGGGCAAAGGCTTGTTGGCATGAAAAAGCATGACGAACTCAGGGGGCTAATTTTCCAGGACTGCTGACGTGTAAAAAGGAGAGATGGGAGATGTACCTAGATAGCGTTTAGGAATCAGATCCACAAAGGCCTTGAATACTAGTCCGAGGGACTTGGGTTTAATCCAGATAATAAAGCAACTCGCCAGCCTTCTCTGGACCTCGGCATAAGACATAAATCAAAGCCTCACTCCCTCCTGCCCCTCCCGCACAAAGGCGCCGGGCGTCCGCCCGCCAGCTAAAACCTTCAGACGGTCCGGGTCACCTCATGACGCCACGCATTCCAACCGACGCATGCGCAGAAACTTGCTCCAGGAGTCGCAGACGGGCAGGCTTCGCCTCCTCCCAATCCTGCCCCTCATTGGCTAGAAACAACAGCTCGTCTTGGCCGTTGCTAGCGACAACGTAGGCGGGCACGATCTTGGTCGCTAAGATACCGCGTACTTCCGTTTCCTTCTCCCCCACTCCTTGGCTCCGGCAAGCCTTCTCGTCCCTTCCACCAATGGCAAATGGGCAGTGGGCGGGACTTGATTTGTCCGGACCAAAGAAAAGCGGGCTTCTCTGGCGCAGCGCGGCCAATGACCGTGGGGCCGCCCCTGTAAAGTGGCTCGGGCGCCCCCACGCCCGCCTTTCCTCCTCCCAGCTCTGCCCCTCCCTATCCGGATTTCAGCACGGCGCTAGCCGCAGTCTGACAGGAACGGACGGAGCCAAGATGGCGGCGGCCGACGGCGATGACTCGCTCTACCCCATCGCAGTGCTCATAGACGAGCTCCGCAACGAGGATGTCCAGGTCCGGAGGCCACGGGGGGCTTGAGGAAGACGGGAAGGGGGACATGGAGGCACGGGGGCCCTCGCGGAGAAGGCTCAGCGTTCTCTGGGCGTGGCGGGGGGGGAGCGCAGCCAATCAGCGTGCAGCTCTCATCTCTCTGGGTCCCAGGACTCGATGCAACAGCGCCCGGGATTGGGTGTTGGCCCAGCGGAGGGCGGGAGCGAGGCGAGTCTGGAGGGTCCCGGGCCTGCCGAGTGCACGCGGCGGCCCCGGGCCTGGGAGGCCGCGGCCAGGGAGGGGGTTTGCCTGGTTGGTCGGGGACAGGGAAGGGCTCGGTGATTGGCGGCGGTCCCTGAATGGCCCCTTGGGGATGGAGAGGGAGCGTGACTTGCTCCGAATGGGGGAGGGGTCGCCTGCTTGGTCTGGACCCGGGTAGATTTTCGCCTTTCTGGGTTTTGGCGGCTGGGCCTTAGGGCTGTGGGGCAAACTCCCTAAATGGGGGAACTGAGAGATGGAGGCTGCCTTTCCAATTCCTTCCCTCCCTCCAATTTTGGTGTATATCCCCGAAGGAGCGGGGGGCGGCTCGCCAAATTTAGGAGTCAATTACGAGGTAGAAACCCGCTCCCCTTCTGGGATCGTCCCATTGACTGGGAGGTGGGCACTTTGCTAAATGGGCTAACACATTTCTGGTGAGCCGAATAGGGTGGCTCAGGGCCCTGAGCCTGGCTGGCGAGGATTTGAGAAAAGTGAGGACTCCACGGTTTGCCCATCCCATCTGCACCTCCCACCCCCGCCGTGTGACCTTATGCAAGTTACTTCATCGCTCTGGGCCTCTGTTTTCCATAAAATGTGGGCTAATCATAGTCCTAACCTCATTGGGTGGTTGTGAGGGACTGAACGAGTTAATAATACATGCAGGTAAAATAGAACGGTGTCTGGCCTGTTGTGAGGACCCAGTAAAGGTTAGCTATAATTATTGAGTGTTGGTTGAAGAGGTCTCATCCTTCCTTTCTGCCTCAATTTCCTAATTGATAAAATTGAGTGGGTTGCACTGGGCCCAGCCTCTGAGGTTCCGGGTATATCACTTTGGTTCTGTAGTCAGACAGGCTGCTGTTGTACTTCTGGCTCTTCCACTCCTTGCTGATTGACATGGGCAAGTTAATCTCTCTAAGCTTTGGTTTCCTCTTTTCTCAAATGGAGGTCATTATCTAGTTCATAAGGGCTGTTGTAGGAATTCATTTGTTCAGTAAACACCTGCCACATATCAGGTATGGTGCTGAGGATGTAGTGGTGACACCAGTTGTTATACAAGAGACGTGTGGAACAGAGCTGAATACATTAATAACACATGTGAGATGTGGTGGGAAGAAAACCATAGCATGTTGTGACAGTGAATCAGTAAATATTTATTGGGCCTCTGCTCTGCGTAGGGCACTGTTGTAGACACAGGTATACAAGAAGATTGACAAAAGCTCCTGGCCTCGTGGAGTGTACGTTGTAGTGAGGGGAAACAGACAGTAAGTAAAATGTATGCTATGTTGCGGATAAGGGCTAAGGAGGAAAATGAAAAGTGGTGGGGGATGCAGTTTTAAAGAGTAGTTAAGGAAGGCCTTGCTGCAAAGGTGATGTTCGAACCAAGACCCGAAGGAGGCAAGGGAAGGAGCCATGAGGCTCTCTGGGTGGGGTACACAGCAAGCACAAAGTGGGGTGAGGAAGATCCGTTTTAAGTAGGGTAGTTAAGGAATGTTTCTCGAGGAGGCAGAGTTTAAGATGAGACCAGAAGAAGGATCCAGCCTTGGGAAGAAGGTGGGGGAGAGTCTTCCAGGTAGAGAGAGCAGGCAGGTAGTGGCAGTAGTTCTCAACCAGGGTGATTTTACCCACCGCGGGACATTTGGTAATGTCTGGAGACATTTTTGGTTGTCACAACTGGGGAAGTACTGTATCTGGTGGATAGAAGTCAGGGATGCTGCTAAACCTCCTATACAGGACATGGGGTACAGGACAGCCCCACAGCAAAGAAATATCTGCCCAAAATGTCCATAGAAGTGGGATTGGGAGAATCCATCGTATGGGAAACTCGAGCCAAATTTAGTGGCTTAAAAGAACAGCAGTTTATTGTCTTACAGCTCTGGAGGTCATAAGTCTGACCTGGGTCACACTAGGCTAAAATCACGGTGTCAGTAGGGTTGCGTTCTTTCTCCGGGCTCCAGGGGAGAATCCATTTCCTTGCCTTTTCCAGCTTCTAGAGGCCACCCATATTTCTTGGCTTGTGGCCCATTCCTCCATCCTTAAAGCCAGCATTGTTGCATCTCTGTGACTGTTCTTGTGGAGTCACATCTCCCTTTGACTAGCCAGGAAAGGGTCTCTAATTTTGAGAGATGAGATTGAGTCCGTCTGGGTAACTCAGGATAATCTCCCCATCTCAAGGTCCTTACCTTGGTCACATTTGCCAAGTCTCTTTTGCTTGTAAGGTATCATACTCAAGTTCTAGGGATTAGGGTGTGGACATCTTTGGAAGGCCATTATTCTGCCTACCACAGCCCTTGTGGCTGGAAGGTAGAGATCGAGGGAGAAAGTGGTAGGAGTTTGAGTGATATGGTGGTGGTGAAGTGCCCTTTTAAAAAAATTTCTTTTACATCTTCAAGTGGTTTAATGTTTCTTTTTGTTTATTCTTTTGTTACTTTTATTGCATTGAAGTCTGAAGGGAAACTCCTCATTCAACAAATATTTAAGGAGTGCCAGGTGGGTGCTGGGGATTGATGTGGGTAGTGGGGCAACAGCAGTGAACAAAACAGGCAAGAATCTGCCCTGATGGAGCTCCCTTTGTTGTGGAGGCAGACAAGGAACAAACAAGTACAATGTAGAGGAGGATAGACAGTGCTAAGTGCTATGGAGAAAAATAAAGCAGGGATGGGGGAGGACAGGAGAGGGTTAGAATTTTAGGTAGAATGGGTAGGGAGGGCCTTATTGAGAAAGTGACATTTGAACAGAGATTTGAAGGGAGGGAGCAGGCCTGCTGGATATCTGGGGAATAGCATTCCGCAAGTGCAGAAGTCCTGAGGCAAGACTATGCAAAGTGTGTTCTGGCAATGGCAGAAAGGCCAGTGTGCCTGGAGCCAAGGGACTGAGCTGTTGATATTGGGAGATGAAGATGAAAAGGGATGTGTCTTAGAAGCACCTTGTGAGCTATCACTTAAACCAGGGATTGACAAACAGCCACCCAGGACCCTGTGCCTGTTCGTATTTTTTTAAATAAAGTTTTATTGAAAACACATACACCCATTTGTTTACATATTATCTATGGCTGCTTTTGTGCTACAGCAGCAGGGTAGAGTTGAGTAGTTGCAACAGAGATGATATGGCCCCTTAAAGCCTCAAATGTTAATTACTTGAGCCTTTACAGGAAATAGATTACCAACCCTTGACTTAAACCATCTCTGTATCAAATCCCATCCCCCCCACAAGTAACCGGTAGTATCAGATCAGTGTGAATCTTGCTAGACGTGGGCTGTCCTAGCCCCTTGCCACATGTGGCTATTGAACACTTGAAATGTGGCTAGTTTGAATTGAGATGTGCTTATACATAAAATACACACCAGATTTCAAAGACGTAACTACTACTGAGGGTAAAACATCTCAGTAAAACTTTTTATATTGATTACATGTTGAAATGATAATATTTTTGATATATTGGGTTAAAAAATATAGTAAGATTATTTTCACTTGCTTATTAGTTTTATTAATTTTACTAGACAATGTAAACTTACATGCAGGTCTTGCATTTACACTCTGCATTATATTTCTATTGGAGTGTGCTGACTCTGGGTCATACTCTATTCATATATAGAGAAAGAAAGAAAAAGTGGGCGTTTTTTCCCAACAGTAAGTACTTTATTTTGCAACTTGCTCTTTTCACTTAATATTTCTTCCAAATCTTTCCATACAGGTACATACACATCGGCATGTATAAGGAGTTTGAACATTTTCCCAAGAATCAGAGACATAGAGACTCAGAGATTGCATCTTTGTCCATGTCTGTGGGCTTTTTGAGGACAGGGCTTGGACCTGATTCATCCCTAAGGATTCAGTAGCCAGTACAGGCCTGAGCACAGAGACCAGGGAATACAGGAGCTCAGAAAGGGTTGAATAAATAATATTAACAGCTGATATTTATTGGGTACTTGCTCTGTGCTAGGTGCTATAAAAAGGCAGTGCATTTATGAGCTTACTGAGTTCTCACAACCACCCTTTGCTTACTTATATTTTCCAGATGAGGAAACTGAAGCCCAGTGAAGGTAAATAACTTGGCCACATTCATGCCAGGTGGGGAGTGGAGGAGCCAGGAAAGATTCCCAAAGGAAGTCTGAGATCAGAGAGTGGAAGAGAATTTGGAATGGGGCAGACACTGACTAGATTTGTATGCCAGATACTGTACTTAGTCTTTAATGGGACAGTCTAGGATACTAGAAAGAACATGGGATTTGAAATTTTGTAGTCTTGATTCACTTGTTCAGCAGATATTTATTCAGTACCTCCTGTGTGCCAGACTCTGTCTTAGATGCTAGGGTACAGCAGAGAGCAACGGTACAGCAGAGAGCAACACAGCAAAGTTGCTGCCCTCTAGGGGCTTGCATTCTAATAGAGGAAATGGACAGTAGATCTATAATATGATATCAGTGGCAGTAATTGCTAATTAGAAAAATAGGCAGGGACAGGGAATAGAGCAAGCCCAAGGCTGCTGTTTTTGATAGAGTGGTTAGGGAAAGCTGCTCTGAGGAAGTGGTACTGAGCAAGGACTTGAATGAACAGGTTGGGGGAAGAGCAGGCTGAGCAGTTGGTACAACGGCCCTGAGGTAGGAGCATGCGCAGTGTGTTCAAAGAACAGCAGGAAGGCCAGCGTGGCTAAGACAGAGTGAATGTCAAAGTGATGGGAGGTGAGGACGGGTACTGAACGAGATCTAGTGAGACCTGTGGACCAGGGCAAAGGCTTTGGTGAGATGGGGGGAGCCATTGGCAAGGCT